GGTAATACCAGATGTCTAGGCCTCAGACTGACGAAGCCTCTTGGATGAGGGGCGAAACGTTTCTTTTTAACAAAAAAAACGAAGTCCAGATGACATGATTCAACCTTTTTTGTTGTTATATACCTGGATGACTGAGAAAACAAACTTTGTGTTTTTGAAACCATTAGTGAAAAGGCCAGACTTCAGGGGTATCTGAGGCAGGCTTGAAACACAAGAGTCAGGGTGGCTTCTGGGTAATACCAGATGTCTAGGCCTCAGACTGACGAAGCCTCTTGGATGAGGGGCGAAACGTTTCTTTTTAACAAAAAAAAACGAAGTCCAGATGACATGATTCAACCTTTTTTGTTGTTATATACCTGGATGACTGAGAAAACAAACTTTGTATTATCGTCCACCTTTGCCTCCTACTACTCTTTATTGCACTAGAGCATGTGTCAAACTCCAGGCCCGGGGGCCAAATATGGCCGTCGTTGACATCTTATCTGGCCCTCAAGATGTTATTTTAAATGTAAAATACTTCAGTAATCTTTGATTATGATGGCAAAAGTACAACAGAGAACATCAAATGAGACCAAACTCTTGTTGAGGAACCTGCGACCATGTTGGTTATCTAACGTGAGTTAATGTAGATTCTGAAATAAGCCCTTAGTTTGAAAAAGGTTTTAATTTTGACACCCCTGCACTAGAGTAATACCGCAGATATAAAATAAATATTCACAATTACTGGGAGAGGCTGTCAGAACAGATCGTATGTATTTTTATATTACCTGATTTGTCTGGCCGCTTAGGTAAGGCTCGAAATCATCATCGTTCACACCATCTTTTTGATGCATTGATCCGTTTTGCACTAAGAATGGGGAGAGGAAAAACTGGATATGAATAAATAATCTCACCATGATGATGTCAAACATTTAAGAGATCTCAGATGGTTACATTTAAAAGGCATGGAGTGTTAAGGCTACAACACTATTATTATAAAATCACAACAGCATTCACCTTTATTTCCTCCTTGTCCTTTAGGTCTCTGTAAAAGGGGACAAGAGAATGAGTAACAAGAGCAAAACAACAACAACAAAAATAACAAGAACAGGATGGATAACTACATGTGTGGCCCAGCTTTCAGACTGAATGTTAACATTTACAGGTTGTTTCTTCTCACTGACTGGATGTCAAACGCTGACATCCAGTCAACGGTGCCGCATTGGCAGGCTGCTACAGCCGCTGGTGCTCGGCAGCACAGTCGGCCTACCTCCGGCTAACAGCCGTCACACATCACGGACTTTGCAGCCTGTTTGATCCAGCGAGCCAAACCCGATCAAAGTGTTGTTGGTAAAGTTTCATTCCTCCCCCCACCTCTTTAGCGAAGCTAGCATACATAGCATGGACGGAGCAACTCTCAAACCTGATCGACTGTGGTCGCAGACATCCTCCAGGAAACCGAATCAAATCGCTGTTTGTGACACTGACTGTCCGCGGCGTCACCCCCCACCCACCCCCCGA